TAGAATAAATCAGATGTTTTTCGAAATAAATCATGTTAACATGAATACTGTGAAAAATAAGAAAAATTCATGATCGTATTTTGTTGGAAGTTTCGATTTTGCCAAGAGTCATTTATTAATTTGCAGTTCTACAAAGTTCAGTTATTAGATTAATCCTTTTGAATTCTTGGTCATAAGTGTTAACTAACATCTAATATAAATATCTTTTGTTTCTAGTAAATAGCGGAAACTCTAGCGAGTTTATAATTGAATCTTTGAAATAAAATCGATATGAATTAATTTATAACGATTGAAATGTTCTAAGATTTGTACGAGAAGAAGCTCGATCAGTTTTATAAAAATTATGTAAAGTAATTTTCGACTGTATATTGAACGGCTATAAGTACTTATACATCACATATTTACAATCGTCATCAATGACAGTAATTAGGCAACATCGTTCTATAAAACAAGGGTGGATGGGGATGTGTATATTCTTTACAAATACACTCACACCCTCAATATAGTACGCCACGTAAGTAGGACATATGCCTTCACTTCTAACTCAAAATTTTGAATTTTTTTGTTAACTAGCAGATTTGTCTCATACTATTCAATACTTTTAGACTTTTACGCAGCAATCAGTAACATTTTAAAAGATCAAATGGGTATTCATATTTTATTTAAAAAACTGAGCAGTTTTCGCTACTTCAATTTCATAAAACACACAAGAATAGTACTTTTGAAAAGATAATGAATCAAAAAAATACACAAAACACATTGTTGTACAAAAAATTCATCGTTCTTGAATGGATGAGAATATGTTTCTGTGAAAAATGGAACTGAAGGATAAACATTGAGTATTGAAAAAAATCATTCTTAGTATTAGAAAAAAATATGATACGCTTATCACTATATGATATCACAAAACAGTACTATATAATATAGAAGGCACACGTGTAGTATTATATATTATTGGTTAATTGAGGTATCTGGAATAAAAAATAAACGTTATTATTATGAATATGTTATTGAAAATCATTGGTTTTATTGAGTAAAATATAGTTATTCGAGCATGAAGGTTTGTATTGGTTGCTATGTATGACGCATTTCATCTGCATTTGATGGTTCTTCATCAGTACACTCCATAGACAATAATTCAGCTTTTTCATTCTATTTTATTAAAAAATTGGGTTAAAATATTATTTAATATGAACAAAATAATTTAATACACTAGTGTATAGATAGAATGTGTCTGAAGTTTTGACGATCAGGAAAAGTGTTGGTCTTAAAAGATCATACATCGGTGATCGACCGGTTGTCAATCTAAAATATCTTCTCGAACTATTTTTACTTCTGCGTAGCCATAATCAATATGAAAATTCCAATCGAAAGCTTCTTATTCTATATTCTCTATGAAATGATATTAAAACACAGAAATCTTTTACACATATTCATATCAAAAACTGAAGATTGTCTTCAAGATAGATTGATCAGTCGGCAAATGATGCGGTTTCCATCTCTGTAAGTCACAAAACTCATTTTGAACAAATATATTTTTTAGTTTTAATTTTTCAGAAAGAAAGTGTCATTATTCTAAGAGTATTATAGAAATGAAGTTTTAGCTGAAGGCGTATGTTAATATCATATCTTACTTCGATGTTGGGACGATATTCTACACATTCACCATTTCTTACGATGTGACTACAAATCATTAAAAAACAGGCATATATAGGCAAGCGTAGAAATTGATAGTATTACACTTACTCAGCTTGTCTGATAATCCATGCTTTATACGGTCGATGGCCACAGAAACATTGAGCAGGATATTGTGCAGTTTGAGAACATACATTACAAAGGAATAAGAGTTCCTGATCTACATGAACCGTAATAGATGTGATATATCAAACATGCGAAAAAACAACTAACTGGTGTTATATTTCTTATCCTGTGTTCTATTATTCAACATCATGAATAATCAGTAAATTGTAATCTGATATACTTTTGTATTTTTGTAGGATAATTATATATAGAATTATCAACGAATCATGCGGAAAAAAACTTAAACAAGTTACAAAGAACTACATTAATCATTCATCGAGAAAATAAATGCATCCGTCTTCCCCAATTTCGACGATTTCCTCACTACTCAAATAATGTGAAGATACTTTGATAAATAACGATATTTTTTTACTACTTTCCATACGATATTACATTTAAAGTAAACAAAACTTTATTATTAGAATAAACTTTTACAAAACAGAATTGCAATGAGCTTCTTTTCTGGAAAATGGAGGATTCAAAGTGAATTTCAGGAAGAACGAAACTAACAACATGATATAGAATTAAATTTAGATATTCTTCGATATCAGCATTTTGACAAAAGTGCTTTATCTGGATTTTTCAGCTAATTATTTTTTATGCGTTTTCCTTATATGGCTTTTAAGTACAGCTTACGCATGTCAAAAAGAAAGCTCGTCCACTCGTATCTGATTAGCATAGCTCATCATAACTAAAAGAAAACAATCAAATAATATAAATTTGTTTTAAGATTCCTTCCACCTGTTTTACTTGTAGTTCCTGAGTATTTTTTAAAAAAAAAATATTCTATAACGACAAGCATTTAGAATATCTTCGACTAATCGTGAAAAATTTTGCGAATATTTTACATCAAATATGTAGCCTCTCTACTCACTTGACCGTCCATCATCTCTTCGGAAAAGGATTGGTTGAGCTCGTTCTTCTTCTTTTTGTTCAATAGAATTCTCTTGAGCACGGCGCTCTTCTTCTTGTTTGAACAATCTAAATCGTAATTTGTATTTAGCACGGCGCTCTAGTTCTTGTTTGATTAAGCTCCGCTTAGCCTGTTGTTCTCTTTCTTGTTTAGTCAGTTTTCGTGGAGTCCGTTGCTCTAGTTCTTTTCGAATCAAACTTCGTTGCACACGCACTGGTAATCCCGGATTAAGACAAAGTGCATGTCTATTTGGTAACAAAGGTTTGGGCAAATTACTAAAATCCACCATTGTCCTAATGAACAGTGTATCATTTTGAACATGGAGATTTTGTTCTCGTTGAAGTATCGGCATGGGGCAAAACCTTGGAGTACCAGTGGCAATATTCATTCCAGATGGTGGTCGTCGAAAATTATCGGATTTAAGATCGAGTCGAAAAGAATCAATAATGTATCTTTGTACTGAAGTTTGATTGCGCAAATGATATGCTTCTCCAGAGTCAAATGGAGCCCTCACTATGATATTGTTTAACCGTGCTGTTAACATGGAAAAGAAACGCATGTATCTACGTCCAGTGTTTTCCTTATACGAATGCCACAATGTAAAATATTTGGATGTTTGTGGTATAAATCGGTTTTGTTTAGACAATTTTGAAAGTCCGTTATTCCGGGTATTAATTGTTTCAAATAACTTTTGCGATTTAGTGTTACTGTTTTCGAATAATGATGGATTGGTTTGGAAGAGGTTATTAATATTCTTTTCATAATTAGTTGTAGGCTGATTGGTTACCAATTGCGATGGATCTCCATTCAAAAAAGCAGTTATCGCATCTTGATGGTGTTCAGTTGTACAACGTTCATCTATAACAATACGACGTACCTAAAGTATAATCGAACGCAGAAAACAATTTTTATTTAATTTATTTTCTATCACTTACACTGTGTGAGCATCCAGAATCTTTCATATGACAAGGTATAAAAATCTGATCACACTCGCTTAACATGTGGTAGTTAAGCTTGCCGGTCGAATCAAATATTTTTCCACAATATTCACATATCAGATGTGAATGAGATTGTGTAAGATGGTCCTTGAAAAACAGCAAAAACTACCTTTTGAAGCAGCTTAGCACAAACAAAGATTTCAACATTTTGAGATTGACTGTAACTAAACTTTGATTTGAAACGGTTAAGTATCGAAGATGTTGATAGAAGAAAGGAAATTAATATAGTATAGAAATAATCAAACATGTCCTTTTCAGGTAGATCAATGAAGTTTCCTAGGAAACTATTCGCCTATTAGGACTGGGATAGCGAAGAGCGATGCATCTGGATACTTCTTGTTCTGAGCATTTAAAAGAGACTTATAATCTCAAAAATTAGTGTTCAGATTGAAAAATGTAAAATATGTGATAAGTCATCCATACTTTTAATGGTTCAATGATTAGCCTCATTAGTATACTGAGTCTACAATATGAAAGCATTTGTTTGTTTACATTACTAATTGCTACTTCCGTTTTTATAAACGGCAGCCTGAGCTAAAATTGTTCATTATTTTAAATGAACTAAGATTTTTTTAACTTTTTTAAACAAGAAATCTATAATTATCTAAGATTATATGGAAAAATTGTCATCGATAAGTACTACAGATAATCAGTGATCACATTTTGCTCATATGACTGAATACTCAATGTATTCCATATCGATTTTAAATTGAAAAATTTCATTGCATCTTCTTGTCTATTTTGTGCTGACTTATTTATAACTGTAAATAAAAAAGTATCAGTGAATCGTCATACCTCATAGTCTTTTAGTAAGCCTTCCCAATTACATAATGAACACGTAACATGCAAAAATTCCATATCACTTCCAAGACCTGTATCGAGCATTACCTAAATAATGAAAAATGTCGATGAGATAGCGGTAATAGTTCACATGCTTACTTCGCTCTGTTGCGTCTCTTCTTGGCAGACTGAACATTTTATTATTCCCCTAAACAATATATAAAAGAAACATAAACTTGAATTGATGAAAACGTTTTACTTGTCTAATTTTGATTCAACACATGATTTACATTGACGATGGCCACAAACAAGTTGTACTGGATTTCGTAAAATTAGAAAACATATGCTGCAATGATAGATTCCACGGATATTAGTTATATTTTTTGCATCAAAACCAACCATTTTTTCATGAAACCATATGATATATCTACAAAACAAAAAAAAGGATGTGAAACTTGAGTTCCATTAAATAATTACAAGAAAATCTCCACAATATGGGTGAAACAAGAAAACTTCGAAAATCGGCGAAACTTGAAATTAATATTTCAGCGTAGAATGAAGCGTTGCCAAACCTCTTGATTCAACCAGGACACTCCTGATGATAATTCTCCTGAATTCAGAAGCTGATTTTTAGGGTGTGGATGTGGGGTGGATGAGGATATGGAGTGGGTGTGAGAGATGAAAATAACATTCATATCCATACTCAAACCCTCGCACTTACACCTTCAAGATTTCAATTGAATGTATGGGAAAGATTCATATACTATCACCAAGAATATGAAAGAATATTACTTTTTGCAGTTGGTGTGACAATTTTGGATAGAAGAATGGTTAAAACTAACGAAACTATGCGTTATTATATCTGTTCTTAACAAAATCGCATCATTTTCATATAAACTATATACTTATATAATCGCCCATGAAACGGAGAAAACAATATGCAATGAAGAGAATATAAAACGAGAAAATAAGAGCAATTCGATAAGAACAAAGCACAACATGATATAAGATGTATGGACAGAGATATAAGGGTATAATCTATTTACTTGAGTGCGTTATATTTAGTCTTCATTTATTAATGCTTTATCAATTTCTTTCATTACTTTTCTTAGTTTGATATAACCATAAATCGTTCTCCAATATAATTTATTGCTATCATGATTGTGTTTCTATGATTCACTGCTGCCCCTTAAAAAAGCAAGTGAATATAGTAGACAAACATATATATCCGAACAACGAAAAGAAAGAATCACTGAGTTACATCTGTCACTTGTGAATAATCCCAACCTAATTTCATTGACTGCAAGATCACACAAATAAGAAGGAGAGAAGGGTTCGGTATTCTTCAACTTAGGAGTGTCTGGGTGTGGATATGGGTATAAGGTGTGTGGTTTGGGTGTAGGTAAGAAACACCCACACCATTCTCTCAGTTTAAGTCCAGTTGAAGTTTTGAAGAACTTTAACTGTTTTCATTTCTGATACCTACTACGTCGTTGAGCTCATTAAAGAAAGTGATCGTATTTAAAATGCGGATATTAAAATAACACCATAGTAGAATATTTGATGGGTTCAAAGAAGTCGATAAATAAGAATAACAAGTAACATATTAATCCTTTAACGGGCGACTCTTATATAGAAAAAGGGGAGGAGGTGGGTAGAAAAGAACAGAAAGAAAAAAAGTGATATATATATACCACCGCCCGTTAAAGTATTAAATTACAAGTAACATTTATCGAAACTCGATTCAATTGGCCCTTGGTTGTTGCAATCTGCATGCATATATGACTGTATTTAGATGTAAATAGGAGTTGATCAATATTAGTTTTGACTTTCAGCAAGAAATCGAATTTAAATTTCTACTTTTTACAAAAATAGGCATTTTCTGAAGGTTCGATATATGATGAATAAATAATAAAGTTTGATATTCGATAACTGAGTATACTCAGTTATCGAATATCAAGCTTTATTATTCAGTTATCGGATATCGAATTTTATTATTCACCTATCAAATACTAAACTTTATTATTCATCTATCAAATACTAAACTTTATTATTCAGTCATCAAATATCGCACTTTATTATAATAAAGTTCGATATTTGATGACTGAATAGTAACGTTTGAAAATGCTTTAGTTTTATTTAGCTCAATTTTATAGAAAGTAGAATTTGAACAAATTCACATTGTAGATCTTTATCATTATAAATCAAGATTGAAGTTAAACTCTTTTTTCTATATACACTATATAAAGACAACTAAACTGACAAGTTTACTTAAAATATTTTACAATAATGCAACTAGCAGAATTTTAAAATGATCAGATTACAATGCATAATTTTTGAAGTTTCTAATCCTATAGGCTTTCTTTTTCCATTTTTAGTGTGAAATGTTTAGAAACATCGTCGTTCTTTTCATACGTGCATTAAAAATATTTATTGATGAAGACGAACGACATGCTATATAAAAATAGGTTAACATTTTTTTTTCAAAGCAGTATAATATTCTGTATACACGAACGTTCCGGTTTTTATTGTTAATAGGGTGTGGGTGTGGGTGTGGGTGCGAGTAGGAATCTGGATGTGCGTGTGTAGTTATTCGATTTCATTCACGCCCACACCCTTGTAATAATCTGTTCGTTCTTTCTTGAAGAAGTAAATTATAAAAACAATAAAATTTTCTCGACGGAAGTTTGGCGTGTTGTTATTTCCGTTAGAAGAAAAAAAACTAGTTCTGATTGTTATTATTTATTCAAATTATCTTTATTAAGAATTGCTTCTAACTTAACTGATCGTATTTTCATACAAATATTTAAAAGAAAAAAAGTCAGATAAATATCTTATGTCAATATGTAATATACGATTCTTCGCAAGAGTGTGATTTATTTATTTATATAAAAGAATAATTACTAATCAATAATGAAAAACAGCACAATTATTTCATTGTTTTCTTTAAGTATAATAAAAAGAATGTAATATTTATCAATTTTTATTTATTAATAAATTGTTCACATATACATATAAGATTAATTAGTTAAGTAAAATATTGAACAACAAAAAAAGCAAAGATAAAAATAAGAGAATAAAGTATTGAATATCATAAAATCAAATTATTTCGTTTATTATCTTTATAATGTTCGACGAAACCGTTGTTGAATCTGATTTTGATATTTTACAATAGACTTTTGATATTCTTGGCTGTAAAATTCTGATGGTAAAACAAAGATAATAAAAGTAATCATTGGCGGAATAAATGATATAAAATATCCACAAAGAAATAACCAAGAATCTTTTGTTGAATTCATACATTTGGATAAATAAGAAAGAATTAAACGTGGTAATGCAAGAAGAAATAAAACCGCAGGTGCAATTAATAAATGTTTATGTTCTCGAATTTGTTCACGTACTATATTTCTATACGGTTGATTTTTTTGAAGATGACGTTTTAGATGAGATTTTTTTACTATTAAAATAATAGATGAAATAAGATTAATCAGAAATGGAACGAAAAAATGAAATGTATTAATAATTCGATTATAAATTTGTAAATTTGAAGAATAATTAACAATACACCAAATTATTGTTTTATTATCATCATTATCATTTTCTTCTTGAAATAAACGTCGATAAATTGGATCATGTATTGATGTTAAAATATTTAAAATTAAAAGAAAAACGAAAACTTTTTTAGCTAATTCTTTACTTTTCTTCTTCACAAATCGTACTCCTTGAATAACAGTGATCGCTCTTTCTAATGCAACACATGCATTTAACCATTGATCCATATTAAGACAAATTTGAAGAAGAAAATCTAATAAATGACATTGAACTTTTAAAAATGATTGATTTGATGAAACTGATATTTGTGTTGAAAGATAAATAAAATATTTTAATCCAAACATAATCATTGTTAACAAAGTTGTTATTGATGAACCTAATAAATATACTCCACAACCAACTTGACGTACACTTTCATTCTTAAATGTAATTAATGAAAGAATACCATTAATTAATCCGAAAATCATAAATAAAATTGTTATTGATAAACTCATTTTAACAATTGATGTTTGATGAATAATGTTGGCATCGGGAATAATATGATAGGCTAAAATAGCATCAAGTGATAAACCAAATTCACTTGTTGTAAATTGACATCGAGTTCCATAATAACATGAAGGACAAACACAAATCGATCGTGTAGGACAGTCAGGTGAATCTTGAAAACATTGGCCATTATGTTCACATTGGTTTTTTCCAAAACAATCAAATTTCATTTGATGATTAAAATTAAAACAATTTGCCAAACGTTTTCTCTGATAATCATAACATAAGCAAATATGAATATCATCATGGAAACATAATAAATTTGGTGAATTTTTTTGACAAATTAATGAATGATAATATTTCATACGACGAATAGCATGAAGTTGAGCAAATGTGTCATTAACTAATTTATTGATCGATGGGCAATGATGTGATGAATTCATTCTTTGAGTTATTTTTGTTGAATAATTATGAACTGGTTGAATAACAGTTAAATAATACTTTTTATCTAATGTTTCAATGAACATTAGATGAAATGGTTGTGACCAATAAATTCGAATAGAATTTGTTGCTTGAGATATTGTTTGTAAAGTGGTTGATCTTTCTGGTGTTGATTTTGGTATAATTGTTATGAAATGAATAAAAATTGAATGAGATAAATGAATATTTTTATCAAATATAAGATCAACTTGAGTATTAATTAATTCACATCGATCCCCACTGAAACCTTTTGGACATATGCACAAATATTTTTGAATCTTCGTTAACATAAAATCATCATATGGAATACATGAACCATTATTTCGACATGGTGAATTATCACATATTCGATTTCGAAGGTAACATTTTGAACCAAAATAATATTCTCGGCAAATACATATTGATCGATTATCACTCGCCCGATCAATACATATTGAATTGGATGAACAATTACAGTTATTTTGTGGAATATCACAATATTCTCCAGACCATTTTTGATCACATTGACAAAATGTTTCTTTTGTATTAAAGTAGTTTAGACATTTTCCATGAAGACATTTCTTATCTGAACAAGAATAATCGTCTTCTAATGGGATATTTATAATAAATGCTAAATGATGAACAGGTAAAAATAAAAATTTGACAGGATAATTAAAACTTGCTCGATATTTGAGAGAAAGTTTTTCATAAATATCAATATGTATTGAATAATTTTTGTTCATATCTTTTGGTCGAGTTGAATAAACTAAATAAACATTAAATTTAACATTACAATCTCGTATAGATAAATAAGTAAATTGTTCATATGAATGAATCATTCGTTGATTTGTATTATCAATAAGCATAATTAAGATTGCAAATAAAATTTGTCTTGATTGAGCTGAAACTTGAAATCTTATTGATAAAATTAAGCGTTGATTCTGATATTGACATTGATTACCATAATAACTTGGTGGACAAAGACATGTGCTTGTAAAAATATTTGATGATTTGTTTAACCAGACGCGTAAATCAAGACCACGATGACAAGGAGATTCATCAAGGACGTCTGTATATATTACATCAATTTGTTGATTTTCATTTACTTCATTTTCAAATGATTGATTGAATCCATCAATTGTAAAATATTCTATTTTGTTTCTATCTTTAATCTTTGCAGCAACACATAAAAATTTTTCAACATAAGAAAGCGATCGTGTATCGTCCATTTGACAAACACTACGGAATATGAGAGATGACCTATTTGTTTGACAAAATAGTTCGTCGTCTTTATATAAACACGATGCAAAACCGTCGCATAAATTATAAGGTAAAAGACATATTGGTTTGTAAGTTCTCTGACAAGCAAATCGTCCATATAAATCAGTATATGGTAGTGATTGACATGATGCTCGTTCATCAGTACCACCAAGACAATCAGGTATACCATCATTAACGTTATTAATTGGTAAACATGTCAATTGATATGTATCTAATTTTACACACATTCGGTAATCTGACGAACAATTAATTAATGGTGGTAATGAATAATCACAATTCATTTCATCTTTACCATCTAAACAATTCCATATTTCATTGCAATGAGTATACATATTATCACATTCCCATTGTTCACATTCAGTTTCATCTGTCTCATTTTTTCCATCAATTGTTATTGGATATAACTCCTGAAAATCATCACAAGTTGTCTGAAAAGATAGAGTTCTTCGAGTAAAGTTTTCGATTATATGTTCATCTTCACAGAAGTTGTATTCATCAAGTCCACAGTGACACTTACCATCTAAAACTTCTAATTGAGCAATATATTTGTTGGTGACATGACATTTATAATATTTGTGTTTGACTTCTACGAATAATTCAGGATTTGTATCTTCATATATATTCTCATCATCATGAAAAGGACAATCAGTTACACCATTGATTAAACGATGGAATGAAATACATTTGGATGAATTACTACATTGATAGAAATTGGATTGATTACATCGATGTCGAGGAAAATTAATTATTGCATGATGATTTTTTATTATTTGAAAAACGTTGTCCTTAGGTTTCTGAAATTGAGAAGTGACATCAGGTATAAAAAGTGGGGGTACCGACCAAGGTGTGAATCGAGACAATTTAAAACACATTGTATTATTCCATGGCGTATCTAAAACTAGTTCAAGTGAATCGTCATAAAAAGATTTGTTCGAACATAAATAAGGCAAATTTAAGAAAACTTGAGGATCTAGTAATTCAATTTTCTTGTAAGCTGTATAAACATGACCAAAGAATATTGGAATATTGGGAATATATAACATATCTGGACATGTTTTTCTTATAATAGGTATACACTCTTCGTTGATAATCTTGTAAGTTATAAGATTTGGATGTTCTGCAGTTCTAATAGCAAAGTAACATTTATAAGCTGACCAACATTCGTCTGATACATTATTATCTTTAATTGAAAACATCGATTCTATTAATGTTGATTCACGCGAATATATACAAGAACTTGTTACAAATATAAATCGACAGATTGTGTCATCATGTGCAAATGCTGGTTCAGCTGCTAAAAACTTTTCCAGTTCAATGTTTTTTCTCACACGTTCATCAGATCTGTCAATACAATCAAAATTCTTCGTATCATCTTGAACAAATTCGTTTGGGATACATTGTCCAATATTACATCGATACTCATTTGGTTTACAGTCACTAAATTCAAGTTCCCAACAATGTTCTTCATCATATTCTCCATCAAGACAATCAACTTTACCATCACAAATTTCTGTCCAATCTAAACATGCTGGTGAATAACCACGATGACATTGTACATGTGTATAACAAGTTAGATTAGTTGGATCATAAAGATAATTTTCATAATAACTAGAAATCATTTCATATAATGATGAATAATTTTCATGATATATATAAAGTTCATATTGACACATTGATCCGAATCTTGGTAATGTACAATTATAAAAGATTTTTTCCGCTAAAGACGAATCATTTGATAGTAAATAGATTTGATATTGTTCAATAATATCAATTGGTGTTGACCAGAAATATAAATCTTCACTTGTAATATTCTTTTTTGCAAGATTACCAAAAGAAAATGTTGGAAATGAATTATCATTTTCAATATGAAATTTCAATGATGATTCACTCATACAATAAGATGAGATTTGTCGAGTAGAATCTGCTTGATCCAAATTTGAAGCAAGTCGAATACAATTATATCGTATACCAATTTCATCATACTTTTCACTTTCACTTACTTGATTTGTATAATAAAGATTGATTTGTGGTATAGCCACAGTCCAACGAATAAAAATCAAATAGAATATACATTTCATATGACACATTTTCTATATAAAATACAATGAATAAAATACTTGGTATTTATATAGCTTTTATTTGACGTCCTTGGGATAAAACGCGTTTTTATTAATATGAATAAACTCATTTGTTCCGTTTTAAGAAAAGTAAAGTCTGACTTTTGACGTCAAACTGAATATTTTTTAACAGATGTGTTGTATTATTCAACATTCATTGACGCACTTCCATAATATTCTCATATTCATTCGACGCAATTATCTCGTCATCAACAGATTTATAAAATATTTTTTGTTTTTTCGAGTTTTCAATTAATGTAAATAATCGAAATATAATGTTATTGTTATCTGATCTTTCTCTTTTAAATATCAGTGCGAATTGATGAAGAAGGAGTCTTTAGAAATATAATGGGTATTGATACACACATCTGTCATTTTATTTTCTACCTGTTTTTAGAAATAAGAGAGGACATACTTCATTCTCGACTGAATTTTAACTAAGCATCATTATTAGAAAGTATCAAGTTAGATTTCAATCGTCAATTACTATTATATCTTCTGCCACATGATTTTCTTTCATTTCATTGCACAATAATTAAATAGTTTCATTTTTTCTAAAAGTAAAGTGTTTAAATGTTCTCTACATTTCATACTTTCTTAGTGTTCTCTCTCATCTCATCCCATACTCACACCCACACTCATACTCATACACAGCCACACCCACGAAAATAAAAAGGATTGATTGGTGAAATGTTTATATTAGTATTTTGTTTATTGCAAATAGTAAAGACTGCTCATAATAATAGTAGAGTTAATCCGTTGTCGGTGCTTTTTTTAGTTTGTTAAAATTTCTTTGATTATGTTACACATGTCCATAGGCAAATGGCAATCAATTTCATCCAAATAATTAATCAAAACAGAAAGTTCCTATAAAAAAAATAGATGAACAGAGAAGAGATATAGAAATCCGATAAATTACTTCAATTTCTCTCAAGACATGAGTCAAATGTTCCAGACGATAAAGGATTCTTTCATTTTGAACAATATCTAATTCGCTCATTACCTGTAAGAACATCATGTATATGTGTAAATGTTTTTACAATTTTAATTACTTTATCTTCATCGAATATGTCAGTTAAATACTGTACATCATCATATATTGTATTTTCACTACACAGTCCTAATCTTTTCAGTGTCTAAAAATCAGATAGAATAAATATGAGAGATCACATAGACAAAATAAAATGACTTTGTTCGTTTGCAACGACTCAATAAAATAGTGTCTTATATTGTCTTCCAATTCTTTTTCGTAAATCGCTAATCTCTGTAGGGTCTGTACAAAAGAAAAAGAATAGTATCATATTAAAAATAGACTTTTTCATTACTTGATTATATTTTAACATAGTAGCTAGATATTTGGCACCATCATCTTTTATACCAGTATCGAAAAGGCCTAAGTTTATCAGCGTCTGTAGTAAACAACAAAGTTATAAAAAAGAATTTATCAAATCGTTGAAAGTTACTTTATTATGCTGTAAGGCATCAGCTATATATTTGATACCATTGTTTGAAATGTTATTTTTAATGATGATTAAAGTTGTGAGTGTCTTTTATCATAATGTGAATATGAGAAAAATAGAAAGACAACAGTATATTGACTTACATAATTCATTTGCAATGCTTCACATAGGTACATCATTCCATTCTCTTTGATATCATTCATGCAGAGAATTAATACAGTAAGTGTCTCAAGAAAAAACAAAATAAATATATGTATGAATTAAGATGCGGAATTACATTATTATATTTCAACGCTTCAGCAATATACCGTATTCCGTCATCTTGTATTTCATTTTTTGATAAAACTAGTGTCGTAAGCGTCTGTGAACATACAATCTGTATGATATAAAGAAAAGTAACGTTTAAATTACGTGATTTTCTCGTAGTGCATTTCCTAAATGATCAGCACCTTCGGCTTTGATTTCATTGTTGGAAAGACCTAATGTGGTAAGTACCTACGACAACAAATTATAGATATAATTAAATGATGTATATCGAAATTACATTATTATGACGTAAAGCATCACTCAAAAACTGTGCTCCATCATCTCCAATATTATTTGTAGAGAGTACTAACATGTTTAATGTCTGAAATAACAAAATATCAGTACGAAAGAGAGATAAGAAAAATTATAATTTACTGTATTGTATTTTAACGCATCTGCTAATTGTTTTACTTCTTCGACTTCAATATCATTTTTACCAAGTACTAGTGTTGTAAGAGTCTATGAAATGAAAAACAAGATATAGGTTAAAGAATATGTTAATTGTTTTGTCATTTTCGTCTGACATTATTTCCATGTAGTGCATTAGCGAAATGATGAATCCCTTCATTTGTAATTTCGCTATTGAAAATACTCAACGTGAGAAGAGTCTGCAAAGAAAAAAAAACAATAAAAAAATATAGTATGAGAAATGTTGTACTTGATTGTAGCGCAATGCATTGGTCAAATATTTAATTGCGTTTACTTGCAATCTGTTATCTGCAAGAAATAATGCGGTGATAGTCTAAAAAATTCAAGTTGGGATCAATATAACGCAGAGTAAACTGACTACTGAAGTACTTTGTTTTCTATCAAGATATCAGTTAAATATCGAATACCATCATCTTCGATGTGATTGGTGATGAGCCCTAATTTGCTTAAAGTCTAGATTAAAAATCGATGAAACTGAATAGGAAGAGAGACTATTTTCGTTTACCTTGTTATGTCTTAGTGCATTGGCTAGATATTTTGCTCCGTTAGTCTTGATTTGATCGTTGCAAAAAGTAAATGCAGCCAATGTCTTTGAAAAACAAATGGAAGATTAAAAGTTAAAAAATTTAAAATTTTTATCACTTTGTTGCATCGTAAGGCATTGGCAAGAATCAGTATTTCCGTACCTCCCAATTCATCGTCGGATAGACAGAGTATTTCAAGGCTCTATTTACAGAAATAGAGTTGAATGAATTTAAAAGTAAAAAATTTACTTTATTTTGTCGTAATACATCAGCGAGATGTTCGATTCCTTTACATCCGATATTATTGTTATATAGATCAAGTCTGGTTAATGTCTTTGAATTGAAAAAGTTTTTCATACGGATTAAATGAAGTAATAGATTACCGTATTATATGGTAATATATGAGCCAGATAATACATTCCATCTTCTTCCATATTATTCTTCTCAAGGCATAGAGAAGTAAGAGTCTATTTAATATGCAAGATAAATAGACTAGAAGAAAAATGAATTGTTCATTTACCTTCGTCTGTTGTAATATTTCGGATAGATGTTCTAGGTAATTTCCGTTGCGTCTATAGTTATTCAGATTTAACGTTTGTAGTGTCTGTAATCAGACGAAATTGAATACTATTAAAATAAAGTCATCAATAAACTACTTCGTTGAATTTTAATGCATGAGCCAATTGTTGAAAAGCATCATCTTCAATTTCACTGCCATCGATTGTCAATTTCGTAAGTGGCTATTTAAGAAAATGATTGATCGAACAAAAAATATACGATAGAGTCTTACCTTATTATTACGTAATGCGTCAGTGACAACATTTATATTGTCATTTGATACCTCACAACTTAGGTAATGTTTTGATTGTATCTTGTTACTAGGATCATCACTTTGATGTTGTGTCGCTTCATTAACATGTTCGAATTGAAGAATATTCTCTTTGAGTTTGTTAAAATCATCGATATCCCAATTAGTTGCAATAGGTAGTTTTAGTCGATCTAAATCCACACATGCCTTGTTTATATAACCAAGCAATTCTTGTTTGAATTGTAGAAATTTCGTATGATTATGTGTTAATTTCAAAGTTTCACAGAGTGCTCGTCGCATATTCAAATTTTGTTGCTGATTTTGAAGATGTTTTTCATATTCTGCAATTTGTTTTTTGTCACCATTTGTATTTTCTTCGATTTGTTCAATGACTGTTTTTTCATAATCATCGATGATTTGTCGTATAGTTTTGGCAAGTTCATTGATACGTGTTTGATTTAATTGCTTGATGTGGTTTACCTTAATATTCAATGTTTCCACTTGTTTAAATCCATGATTTAAAATAGATTGAATTAATTGAAAGTTATTATCAAACTGAATAATCAAAACAATATGAATAGAAGGAGAATATCATCTGACTAACCTTAGTTTTTAATTCATCAATGACATCATGAACGAATGCATAGTCATGATTTTTATGTTCAAACAATATGCAATCTCGACATATAAGTATTTCACACATGTTATTCTTGCACCAATATTTTAGCCTTTCATCCGGATGCTTTGAACATGGAATTATTCTATTCATTTCAATCAAATCATGACATAGTGTATGATTTTTGAACGCAGGTATACTATGAACAATATTACTACATTCTAAGCAATAATTACTACTGCAATTACTACATCCAATTGTAGCATTGAGTAATGTGCAATTTGAGCATTGCTGTGAAGCTATAATAAAGGAGAGTGTCAAAAATATATAGATGCAAATATAATGATTCTAGTTACGATGTATTCACAAATAAATTTCTTCTCTATATAAATTCCTAACTTTAAAAAATATTCAATATGCAGTGTTTTACTTACGTTGTAACTCAATTATATCTTGTGCAAGTTGATTCAACGGCAATGCATTTATACAATTACTCTCGATTTGTACTTCATCACACAACGGACATTCAAATCGTCCATCTGTCGTAGATGCCGTCTGTTTGATACATGGAAGACAGTAAGTATGTGAACAGGGGAGGATACGTGGGTCCACAAAATATTTCCCACAGATATTACAAATGATAGGATCGTCATTTACAACTATTCTATTAGTTGCCATATTTGATAATAACTTACAAAAAAAAGAAGTATTTTTATTTTGTAACTTCTCAGTTAGAATAAACGGAGTATATTCAGTTTAAAGATGCGAAATATCACGTGTTTCATGAGTCATTATCAGTTTCTCTCCAAGTCAAACGAATATTTCTTCCAACTAGTAACTTATCTCTGTCTTCACCTTACCTGTGCATACTTCATCATAGATAATGTAACAAGTCATGCCTGTTTTTGAAGGTATAAGCGAGAATCAGTTTCGCAATATTCATATATCGAGGGTGTGGGTGGGCGATGTGAGGTGAGGTATGAGTATCTTAATCATAACACACCCATACCCTGGTATATATACCCAATTCCGTTATTATTATTATCGAAATAATGGTGCCCTCAGGAGATCGACTCTTCTTCAAGCAATATATTCCGGATAAATTGCACAAATATGGCATTGAAATTGATAGACTTGAAGCTTTATAGTTTATACAGAAAAAGAAAATCCAATAGCTGATCTTGAATATTCGAAAATTATCGAAATGTATTACCTGACAATTTTTTTACTAATATTGCTCTCGCGTGGGTGAGTGTGATTGCTATGTTCATCGATTATTCACATTCTTACTCATACCCTCATTTTCATATTTTCAATAAATAAATTCTATATGAATTTCTTCTGAATCAGCCAAAAAATATTTTATTCAAATAAAAATTTATTGAATTAAAAGTTAATAACGTTCATGGTTGCTGCAATTCCATATTGAATGTAGATAAGCATTGCCTGGTCTTTTGTGATATAAACTTGAATAGCTCTAGAACATGATGTTGGTCCATGAGCAAGTTGTGTTCCATTCAATAAAAATGTATATATACCAGGATATGATCCACCATAATTGCATGTATGTCGTCGTCCTGCATAATCATGATGAATATAATTACGTCGTCTTATTTCTTGACCAGTAAAATAAGGCCAATTTCCTTTATAAGTACCATTTAAAGTATATTCCATAGCTACATATTGATCAAGAACAATTAGTGTATCATTCCAATAGCTCACAACTGGTTGATAAGTCATAGTAGTACTTGTTATATTAAATAATATAGATCCTGATGATAAATCATGAATAGTCATAAGTACAGAACTATTCATATACGCTATATATATGTATTGTGATGTTATCAAACATGAATAAGGTTGATATGATAATGAAATATTAAGTATTGAAACAAGTTGTGGTTGAAATGATGTACCAATATTTTTGTAAATACTAGCTGACTGATTCAAATATTGAACAATTCCAAGTCCATGATTAGTTGCTGAATTAATATTAGTAATCTCACTCGGAAGTTGAATGAGCGTATTTTTTGTACCAGTATAAGTAAAAAATGATAAAGTTCCAGTTGAAGTACTTGCATAAACACCATACATATTTGCATAAGCACCTCGATCAGTTGATGTAAGTGTTATGTTAGGAGCTAAAGTAAATTGATCGAATATCTGTTGAACAGTGAATGTATTCGATCGAGTACAAATATAATTAGGTTCAATTTGTGCATCATTTGTACAATAATTGAATGCAAGAATATGTGTTGTTGGATCAGCTATAAATGTACCTGCTGATGTAAGTGTTTCAAATAAACGACAGGTTTTCGTTGTTATATTATAATCTGCTGTACGACAAATATGATGACGTTCACATATAAAAGTACATTTCATTATCGATGGAATATTGATTAATGTATCAATAAGGTGTGTATTAATAGGCGGTTGAAAATAGGAGTGTTTTATATTTTTTATTTTTACTGAATAGAAATTACTATTCGAATTAATTAAGATTATGAATGAAAAAAGAAACAGAAGTGTCTTGATGTTCATTGTTAAGAGAAAATTTGTGATAGAAGTTATTTTATCGACTTTACATATATACTAATTTAATATGTCCGATAGTTGAAATTAAAAACAATTAATATTTTATTATTTGTCTTCTAGTCTTCGGAAAAAGTCATCTCAAAATGTAAATATTTGTTAAAAAGAAAAAAGCATCAACTCATGTTTTCTATTACAATCAAAACGTGACGCAGTTGCGACGTCACTTCGATTGCACTGTGACCCCATAATTGCGATACAATTGCGACGAATTAAACGCATTGTCACAGAATCATATTTCGACACTATCCAGCGTGTCGATGTGGGTATAGATATCATATTTATATCACATTCATAGCAACACCCAGACTCACACCCACACAAAATTCAATAGCACAACCAAGAATGTAAACATTTA